GGGCAAAATGTATTATGGTTTATAATGGCAAATGATACTTTGAATATTACATGTTAATAACTTGATTGGAATTATAACCTTGAATTGACAGTTTGATACTTTGAAAATTTTGAGCCAGCCCTACCCCCAAGGGCTGTAGGGTGGGGCTCAAAGGAGTCAGTGTGCTAAAATTTCTTCATTTTTCCTTGTTAAGAATCAGAGGTGCTAGTTTCAAATCCTTTTTAGTCTGAAATCTGTATGCTATATATTTGTCACTTTGAATAATATTTCTGTTCATGTTAAAAACAAAATCAACTCTATGTATAAATATATCAGGTGACCGTTAAGGCCCATGGGCCTCTTGTTATATATACAGCAAAAAAATACAAAAATATCACATACAGTACTAGTGTAAACTAATCTAATCTAAACTAATCTACAATAATGAAGCTGTAGGACAAAAATTATCTATGTATTAATCCTTCCTTTCTAGGTTCTTCTGCTCCTGTCATCTACTTAATACAATGTATTGTGTACTTCATTACAATTTGGATATATATGTATATTGTAGATTTTCACTATGGAATACCATGATGGGAACATCAATTCTCAGTATGCCATGGGCCATAAGACAGGTATACAAAGAGACAAATATATATATATATTAACAATTATAGCTTATGTCTTTTGGCCAACTCAAAATAATTTCAAACCAAAAACTGAACTGTTTTCTTGAAGTAAAGGAATTTGAAAGGAAAGAGTAATTTTTTTACAGTGAATTGATCTAAAATGAGGAAACAGTAGAGTACTTTAAAGGCAAATGTGATCCTGAAAAAATGTATGCAACATTTTGAGATTTTTTTTCTTTTTCAGTTGAGCTTTTGGTGTACTTTTATCAAAATGTTGATTGGATTTTATATTTTTGTAGGCAGGATTTGTGACTGGCATTACATTGCTGGTATTGATGGCAGGTCTCATGTTATACACAAGTTACCGCATACTGACAGCAGTACAGGGCATGTGTAAGTAATCTTAGTCACATACTGACAGTACAGGGCATGTCCTGTAAATGACATTACAGGACATTTGTAAGTAATCTTAGTTAAATACTGACAGTACAGGACATGTGTAAGTAATCTTAGTCACATACTGACAGTACAGGGCATGTGAAAGTAATCTTAGTCACATACTGACAGTACAAGGAGTGTGTAAGTAATCTTAGTCACATTCTGACAGTAAATGACATGTGTAAGTAATCTTATTCACATACTGACAGTACAGGACATGTGTAAGTAATCTTATTCACATACTGACAGTACAGGACATGTGTAAGTAATCTTAGTCACATACTGACAGTACAGTGTATGTTTAAGTAATCTTAGTCACCTACTTACAGTACAGGGAGGTTGTAAGTAATCTTAGTCACATACTGACAGTACAAGGAGTGTGTAAGTAATCTTAGTCACATACTGACAGTACAGGACATGTGTAAGTAATCTTAGTCACATACTGACAGTACAGAACATGTATAAGTAATCTTATTCACATACTGATAGCAGTACAGGGCACGTGTAAGTAATCTTATTCGTATACTGACATTACAGGGCATGTGTAAGTAATCTTAGTCACATACTGACAGTACAAGAAGTGTGTAAGTAATCTTCTTAGTCACATACTGACATTACAGGACATTTGTAAGTAATCTTAGTCACATACTGACAGTACAGCGTACGTGTAAGTAATCTTAGTCACATACTGACAGTACAGTGTATGTTTAAGTAATCTTAGTCAAATACTGACAGTACAGGGAGGTTGTAAGTAATCTTATTCACATACTGACAGTACAGGACATGTGTAAGCAATCTTAGTCACATACTGACAGTCCAGAACATATATAAGTAATCTTATTCACATACGGATAGCAGTACAGGGCACGTGTAAGTAATCTTATTCGTATACTGTCATTACAGGGCATGTGTAAGTAATCTTAGTCACATACTGACAGTACAGGACATGTGTAAGTAATCTTAGTCACATACTGACAGTACAGAACATATATAAGTAATCTTATTCACATACGGATAGCAGTACAGGGCACGTGTAAGTAATCTTATTCGTATACTGACATTACAGGGCATGTGTAAGTAATCTTAGTCACATACTGACAGTACAGGACATGTGTACGTAATCTTAGTCAAATGCTAACAGTACAGGACATGTGTAAGTAATCTTAGTCACATAGTGACAGTACAAGTAGTGTGTAAGTAATCTTAGTCACATACTTACAGTACAGCATATGTGTAAGTAATCTTAGTCACATACTGACAGTACAAGGCATGTGTAAGTAATCTTAGTCACATACTAACAGTACAGGACATGTGTAAGTAATCTTAGTCACATAGTGACAGTACAAGTAGTGTGTAAGTAATCTTAGTCACATATTGACAGTACAGGACTTGTGTAAGTAATCTTTATCACATACTGACAGTACAGTAAAGTGTACAGTATATTTTTTTTTATTGAATGTCCCTTTATTAATTTGTTACCAATTTTACTGACAGTGTATTTCAATGGCTGTTTGGTTTTGGTTAAAAATATTTGAGCAAGATTTTTTTTTGTGCAATGATGGATCACCACACTCAATAAGCCGTTGAATATTACAAGGTTGAGGCATTGATATAGAGTTTAAGCAATGTGTTAAACCATTTTTTAAAAGAGCAATGTAGGGGCCTTAAGGGATTACCTTAAATTCAATTTGGTGTGGAACATTCTATGATGCCATGCAACAAAGATTTTGTTAACTATGAATTTCAAAGTTCTTCTATTGTAATAATGTACATGTATTGTAATATTTGGATATACATCTATATTTGACACTGTGACTTTGCTATAGCCCATATTTTGTTTGGTTACCTGTATTGTATATCAACTAAATATGATGCTCAAAATAACAAGACCAGTTTAGCAACCTAAAACCTGTTAAGATACATATATTTCTATTGATATTTACTAACGTGAATACATCACGAGAAAGGCGAGCTGTGACGTTCTCCAACATCTCTTCTTATTTAATGTTGACAGCATCAGATTCCATGAGTGAAGCACTAGACTTTTCGGATGTATGTCGGCACTATCTGGGTCGTTGGGCTCAGATTCTGGCAGTTGTCTCATCCCTCTTGACCCTGATGGGTGGGGCCATCGTCTACTGGATACTCATGTCCAACTTTCTCTACAACATTGTCACCTTTATCTACCGTAAGTAAACATTTTCATCGGTACCTTCATCTAATGTATGACTTTCACAGTCACAAAAGTCATGTGTTAAATTTTTGATTTTTTTTTCTCTAAGATTCATGGGGCTAGTAGTTATATATTTCATCTGTAGATTGCTTTGTAAAATATAGATCTATACATCAGATGTGTTGAAATGAATAACCTTGACCCATCATGTTCAAGGTCACATGGTCTAATAGATTGATGTTTGTAAATGTGAGAGATTAAGGCATGTAATGTGGGCCTCTTGTTTTGACTATTTCCTATCCTTTTCAAAGTTGTATGAATATCTACCACAACATATTCATGTTTGTGTCTCCTGCTTAATGAAGGCACCATATAGGGATCACTTAACCAGTGGCAGTGATGGTGTGTTTCAGGCATGGGGCCATTACATTGGTAATGAAATTAATTAAATTACACATTACACTGGAAAAGTAGCATTACCATTACCCCTTGCTGGTGTCTTCTGTTGTGTTCACACACAAGTTTCTATGAGATAACCCTTAAAGGAATGCTTTAATTTTCATCAAATTTTCCACAATTAATTATAGTATCAACAACCTACCCAGGTTTGATTTGAACCAGGATCTGAAATTCATTGGGAGTACCAATGGCCATCTTACATTTCAGCACCTGAAGTTCCATAGCTATAAGTCTTGGAAAGAATAGTTTGATTTTGATGAAATTTGCTAAAAATACATAACATTTAGCATCAATTCTCCAATCCGTTTTTGATTTTCAGACATATCTGAATTTCATTTAATATGACCGCTAGCAGCCATTTTGGATTTCAGAACTTGAAAGAAAGTTTTTTGTCATGAAACTTTTTACAAATACCTATAGTATCATATACATGGTCATGTTTGATTTTGAACCAGATCTAGAAATCAACATGGTTTGAAAGTCACATGTTTTTCATATAACAACTCACGAGGAAATGCTTTGATTTTCATGAAACTTTCTACACATGCCTGTTATATTGGCTACCTGCTCAATCTCCATTTTGACCCTAATCTAAAAATCAACATGGCTGCCAGCTGGAGCAGGCAACACTATCACTGACGTGGAATTCTTGTTCTTATAAGCTGAACTTATTTTCTATGTTTATAACTTGACAGTATGTCTGACTTTCCATAATAATTTTGTTTATTTTACATGTAGGTGTGTTAATTGTGTGAAATATTAAAATATTTTGTATTCATCTTTTGATTATTAGATAAAGCTACAAATTCAGGTGCACACAATTCTACAGAGATTTCCAAAGATTATAGTGAGTATCAGTTTTATATAATGATGCTAGATATCCTTACTTTAGAGCATCTTGTTAGGATTATCATAAGCTGTACCTTCCTTTGTTGGGGTTATCATAAGCTGTACCTTCCTTTGTTTGGGTTATCATAAGTTGTACCTTCCTTTGTTGGGGTTATCATAAGTTGTACCTTCCTTTGTTTGGGTTATCATAAGCTGTACCTTCCTTTGTTTGGGTTATCATAAGTTGTACCTTCCTTTGTTGGGGTTATTATAAGCTGTACCTTCCTTTGTTAGGAATAGGTTTTTCTTAAGTTATTATAAATTACTATAAGTAACATTGTTGGAGACAGGATTGTCATCTCAATCGCATTGTGGCCTGTTATAAAATCTTGAAGTGTCAGTATACTATTTGTGTATTTTGATATGCAATGAATTCACCAATTGGAAAAAACAGAAAATTTCTTTTAATAAATGTATCTTTTGGTCATTTATATAATCACATCCTTTTGCTTTATAGGGTTAATCCTGACTTACACGGGAGGAGGTAGATGGCAGTTTATTTAGAAATGTTCTTTATCACTACCTATGTCATGATCTGAGGGTAGAGGGGATCTCAGAGAATTTCAACCCCCTATAAATAAATTTAGATAACCCTTAATGAACTTGTTAATGTGTTACTTGCATGTATTTAATTAAAATGTTTTTAACAGTTTGTCCTCACCCACCTATGGGGCAGAATGGATCTGTGTACCTTTCCCATAATGCTAGTATTTACACGCCCCCCCACTTGATGTGGGCGGAGTCAGCTAGCCACACCCATGACTCCACCCTGGACCGTGTCTGGCAGGAGGAATACACAGTGCCTCTCTTCCTCATCGCCATACTTTTCCCCCTCATCAACTTCAAGTCACCTACTTTCTTCACAAAATTTAACTCTTTAGGTGAGTATCTGAACATTATTAACTCTTTCAGTTAAAAGTAATTAAAATGGTTTTCTCTCAGAACTTGTCTCAAAATAGAAACATTTTCTCTCAGTAAAAATACAGTCTATAGTATGTACAGTAGGGTGTAAAATCTAGGTCAGAAACAAAAATTTGACCCTTTTTCTTCTACCAGGATATATGTAAAGATAGATGTACCATGACATCAGTAGTCAAAAAAGATATAGTTGTAGATTTTCCTGATAATGTTCAAGTTAACTTAAAACATACAATGTATTTACAAAGAATAGGAAAAAGTATGTTATATTAAACGTATACCTTTAGAATCAAAGCAGCATAGAAAAGCTTCACAGCAAGTTTGTTTGTGAGATCAATTGCTACCTATCTTATGGTGGGAGATATTCTTCCACTAACCAAAATGATAATGTAATGATGTTACATACCATATTAAAATTATCTCACTTTTCAGAACATCTGCTAATACAGCACTGAACATTTTGAAAGCAAGCAATAAGATTACTGCTAAAATGTGATTATTGACAGTACTTGATCCAGGTAACTTTGTAACAACAACATCAATTACAATGTTGTTTACCTGTAGGTACTATTTCTCTGACCTACCTGGTAACTTTGTACCTCACTGATATGATAGTGTACATGTTGTTTACCTGTAGGTACTATTTCTGTTTACCTACCTGGTAACTTTGTACCTCAGTGATATGATAGTGTACATGCTGTTTACCTGTAGGTACTATTTCTCTGACCTACCTGGTAACTTTGTACCTCACTGATATGATAGTGAACATGTTGTTTACCTGTAGGTACTATTTCTGTTACCTACCTGGTAACTTTGATATAGTGTACATGTTGTTTACCTATAGGTACTATTTCTGTGACATACCTGGTGATCTTTGTGGCCTACAATGCCTCACAGTGGGGATTTCATCTTGATCTCAGTGTTCCTGCTAGCAGTGACAAACATATACCAAGTGAGTAATCAAAATTTAAACTATGACCTTGTATGATATGGTTGACTTTTTATTCTACCTTGAATTTAAACAATGATATGACTTTCCTACCTCGAGTATTGACAGTGCAGACATACTTGTGTGTATAATTATCTATATAGAGTTATCATATTAAGTCTATTTATACACATCCAAAAAGTCATAACTTTACAGGTATGATATTGTCAAATATTTTCTAGATCTACCAGGTATATCTTAACTATCTCATATCCTATATTCGCATCTTACATAAAGGGGCTAAGTGATGTCCCGGTCATTTCTGTTTCCAGTGTTCAAGGGTACATTTGCAGCTCTAACGGGAGTTGCGGCTCTAGCCTACTTTGTACAGAATTGTGTGATATCCATTGTCAGAAACCAAAAACATCCAGAAAATAATGTAAGTATGGTTATGTCATGATAGTCTGAAGAAAATCTTCTGATCAAAAAAATGATGTGATGATAGCATTAAGATTAACAATTTCATCAAAAGAAATTACAGAACCAACAAGAAGGTGACAGCAAGCACACCTAGCTGGCTCTGACTTATGTTTGTGTTACAGGTATGTGACCTGGTGATAGTGTACACCTTGATTGCTCTGATGTATGTTTATGTTACAGGTACATGACCTGGTGATAGTGTACACCCTGATTACTCTAACATATGTTTATGTTACAGGTACGTGACCTGGTGATAGCGTACATATTGGTGGGTCTGACATACATTTACATGGGAGTTATGTTCTATTCCTCATTCCCCATGTCTAAGGACTGCATAGAAGATGTAAGTTCATAGATGTTGTTTTTCTAATTTCTGATAATTAGCATGTATGCTTATAATGAAAAAGGTTTTAAAATGAGTTACAAATTGTATGATGATATAAATATTCTACATAGAAGCCGACATCAGCAGGCTCCACAGTTCCATTCAGAATGTACAGGTTTTCATAACAAATACAGGATCTCCAGTCCCAAAAACGTTTATAGGGTGGAAGCTCATTGAAGGTCTGATGTAAACAGACCTTCTAATTATACAGGGTTTAGTTAAGACAGGTTACACTACATTTTACAGCAAGATGGGTGCACAATCCTTGTCAGTGATGTTAACTGTACAGGACCTAGCCCTGAAGTTTGTTTATACTTATCTAAATGGCATATCTGGACTTATATCCTATGTCGAGTCCTATTAATGCTTTTCATACCATGGTGAAGTTTTATAATGGATATGACAGATTTTTTTGTATTTGCCGATGGCTAATTTATTTTTATGGATTGTTTATCTCTGAGTAATGCAATTTTAATTGTAATGTTATTATTGTGTTTTCCAGAATCTTTTAAATAACATGGCAGACACATATGCACTGGCGTTTGTGGCACGGATCGGATTGTTTTTCCAGATGATGTGTGTGTTCCCACTGTTGTTGTATATCTTTCGGGTCCAGTTTTTACACACCGTGTTTGGATCTGTATGGCCAAGGTAATTCCCAAATATTGTCACATATTAACTTTCTAAGACTACCAACAGCTGTACATTTGAATTAAACAGCCCATTGAATTAAGTCTAACATCACACATGTAAAAGTATTTTATATCTCCCCAAAGTCATCGAGTATTACAGTCCCAGTCAAACGTCTGGATAACTCACACGGGACATACAACCAACAAAGGCAAAGAATCATAATAACAATGATGATATCAAAAAAAGGATGCACACTATACATGGGAACAATCCAAAACCAGTCCTGGGTCGTGACTATTTATCATTAATTTTCCATACATCTTTTTATTAATTCATTTGTCTATCAATCTGCTGTATACAGCATCTAGCTTCCTCATCACTGAAGAATCACAAATAGTCATTACATGGTATGTGACGGGTGTATATTGTTCTGCCCCTGATGTTCTCGTGTTAGCACTATTACATGGGATGTGATGGGTGTATATTGTTCTGCCCCTGATGTTCTCGTGTTAGCACTATTACATGGGATGTGATGGGTGTATATTGTTCTGCCCCTGATGTTCTCGTGTTAGCACTATTACATGGGATGTGATGGGTGTATATTGTTCTGCCCCTGATGTTCTCGTGTTAGCACTATTACATGGGATGTGATGGGTGTATATTGTTCTGCCCCTGATGTTCTCGTGTTAGCACTATTACATGGGATGTGATGGGTGTATATTGTTCTGCCCCTGATGTTCTCGTGTTAGCACTATTACATGGGATGTGATGGGTGTATATTGTTCTGCCCCTGATGTTCTCGTGTTAGCACTATTACATGGGATGTGATGGGTGTATATTGTTCTGCCCCTGATGTTCTCGTGTTAGCACTATTACATGGGATGTGATGGGTGTATATTGTTCTGCCCCTGATGTTCTCGTGTTAGCACTATTACATGGGATGTGATGGGTGAATATTGTTCTGCCCCTGATGTTCTCGTGTTAGCACTGTTACATGGTATGTGATGGGTGTATATTGTTCTGCCCCTGATGTTCTCGTGTTAGCACTATTACATGGGATGTGATGGGTGAATATTGTTCTGCCCCTGATGTTCTCGTGTTAGCACTGTTACATGGTATGTGATGGGTGAATATTGTTCTGCCCCTGATGTTCTCGTGTTAGCACTGTTACATGGTATGTGATGGGTGTATATTGTTCTGCCCCTGATGTTCTCGTGTTAGCACTATTACATGATTTGGAATGATATTTTGTTTATTTTATTTCCCTCCTAGCCTCAAGCATGTGCTTGGATTGAACTTTTGTGTAGTGGCTGTCTGTGTTTTGTTCGCTATGTTTCTTCCTCATATTGGATCTATTATAGGGTGAGTATATTGACTAGCTTCAGACTTTAATTATACCTGATGTCAAATATCTACAGCATTGTTACCATTTCTCAGTTTACCATATTCTGGTTTATATATATGTGTGGCATTATCTCTATTGCATTGTTCCAGTTACATAGTACATAGTATAGATTGATAAAATATCTACAACACTTTCCAGTTACATAGTATAAATTGATAAAACATCTACAACACTTTCCAGTTTCGTAGTACATAGTATAAATTGCTAAAATATCTACAACACTTTCCAGATACATAGTACATAGTATAAATTGATAAAACATCTACAACACTTTCCAGTTTCGTAGTACATAGTATAAATTGATAAAATATCTACAACACTTTCCAGATACATAGTACATAGTATAAATTGCTAAAATATCTACAACACTTTCAAGTTACATAAGTACATAGTATAAATTGATAAAATATCTACAACCCTTTCCAGTTACATAGTATAAATTGATAAAACATCTACAACACTTTCCAGTTACATAAGTAGATAGTATAAATTGATAAAACATCTACAACACTTTCCAGTTTCGTAGTACATAGTATAAATTGATAAAACATCTACAACACTTTCCAGTTTCGTAGTACATAGTATAAATTGATAAAATATCTACAACACTTTCCAGTTACATAGTAAAATATAGATTAAGTATCGGCAGCACTGTTCTAGTTACACAGTACAATATGTTTATTAGACATATATGCTTAGCAGCGTTCAGTTACATAGTACACCATATAAATTGTATAAGGTATCTACATCACTTCTACAGCATTGCTCTTGGGCCTTTGTTCCAATCTCTGGTTTGATGATCAGTGATCTTGGAAATTATCTTAATACACAGGTGATAGCACACATATACTTATGTTAATTAAACTATTCTTAACTATTAAATTTCTTTAGGTACATTCATGTTTTGGTGTTTCAGATTTGTGGGAGCGTTTTGCGGATTGTCGTACGCGATTGCCTTGCCGTGTCTGGTGTATATGGTGATCCGTTACCAGCAGGACACACTGACCATGCCAGTGATAGCCTTCCACTCTTTTCTAATACTCATAGGACTGGCCAACTTTGTTGGACAATTCATCATTCTTGGAAAGACAAGCTGATTCTAATTTGAGAACATTTTATTTATTTGCCTTTATTATCCCAAAGGGATGATAATATAGGAAGTTGTTGGTAAGACCAACTGGTCTGTTCGCTGGACAGTCTTACTGCTTGTGTTACACCTAAATGAATGTTGGCTATTTAGAAAATCAGCTGGTTTGATATAAAACTCTATATGTCTTCTCTAGCCAATGTAGGTAAAAGAATTTTCATGAAATATCTTAAAGTACATGCATAAGTTTATATTCTAAAATATATTAAAATTCAAATAATTAATTTCAACGATTTCCACAACAATACATTTTTTTTGTCTCTTCCTTAAAACTGGGTTGTCAATGTTAATACAGCTATGGAAGGCAATATACCTGCATTCTTGTATGTACTTTAAAACTAGTTCAAACATAAGCTGCATGGATTTTAAAAAGTAGGCTGTCCTGAAACCTGCCCCTTCAGTAACCTCACAGATTGGCCCAGCTGCCAGCCACTGTTTTCATGATCAAAATTGAGGGGATTTCTCTGGTTCCCTCAAAAGTATATCCTGTTTTTTTCTAATCTACTTGTCTAATTACCAGGTATAGTTTTATACTGGGCCAGGTCAACCTAAATCTGCATATTAATCTCCACATCATGATGATATACCTTGCTATCAGTGTTTTGTGATAAATAATAATAAACATTTGATATAGAGCCCTATCTAGCTTAACTAAGCTTCTCTAAAGCGCTGTACAGTACATAGATGTACCATTTATACAATCAATACAATTAGCATATACATTAATACAATTTCAATTTTGAGGAATTCGCAGGAGCTGATTTATCAGGGGCTTACTACTAGTCCTATGCCACTTGGCTAATATCTCCCTTTGTGTGTATGCCTGCATGTGTGTTGGAAATGTATTGTGTTCTATTTGAAGTGGGACCGTCACCTTCCAACGGTATTATTTATAATGCAACCTCACTTGAATGCTTCAGCACAGATACCGCAACATCCACCCCAGACCATTTTATACTCCACCTGGGTTGTTGGAGTTGTGGTAATATAGCTTGATTACCATATACAACTTGCACCCATATACATGCACATGTGGTTGTGGATAGTTAAAATGTGTTCTTACGCAGTGTTGTGTATACCTGGCATAGCATATTTGATAGGAATATAACATCACAGAGTACCTTACTTTAATAAATAACTGAAATGCCAAGATATGAACTGAATTATTATTAAATGCATGTAAATTATTTTGGTGGTTAAGTGGAACTTAATATAAATCTGCATTCCGAGATTCAATCTCAACATTAAACTTTAGGAAGATGTATGTGGGTTTGAAACATTACATTATTGATCTATTGGGTCTGTCCATTTATCCAGAACTGACTTAATTTGTTGATGGGTCATAAAACAATACAAAAGCAAAAACATTCCTCTTTTATATACAGTATTTTCAGGGTTAAAGGCTGGCGGACCTACCAATTTTATGCTTGCCTTGAAAAACTTTGTCAAGACTTGCCAGAAGACATAACCAGGCCCTACGTGTATGAAACATCTAAGACTAAATTTCAAACAATGTTGATTCAATGGGATAACTTGAAGTTGAGGAATTTTCAATGTTAAATCTCAAAATTGAGTAGACTTGGACTTGAGATGTTTGATACACAGGTTACGTTATCCATTCCATAAATGAACAACTAAAAGTCAAACCATTTAGAATGTGATAACACAGAAGTGTTATTGGAAAGGTATGCGAAGTGTCGTGCCGAAACTTCTTTTGATGAAATATCTTGTCTATCTTTGTCAGTCAGGTGTTAATGTGTTACTTACAAATTAATGATACATTTTACTGAGGTGTTGGTAATTCAACTGGTAGGTCAGCTGTATCATGTGTAACTTACAAATTAATGTTACTTTTTAGTTATGTGTTGGTAATTTAACTTGTAGGTCAGCTGTATCATGTGGTTCCGACATTTCAATTATATACTTACAATTTTCAGCTGCCGTTTTTGGCCCACCATCAGATTGGTCTGTTTGTCTGTAAATTAAACACAGCTCTTCCTCCAACTTTTGTACACAGGATATTCTTGATTCCTAGTTGTGCCAAGTCACTTTTTTTTGTGGATATGAAGAACAATATGGCCGCCATACAGCTTTCTTAAATTTCAGGATAAAATTGAAGTTTATCAACCTTTCTCAAATTTCGTACACAGATCCTAGTTGTGCCACATTACTTTGGTTGAAGAAGATATAGATGCGAGGCGAACAAATTTGACTTTGGGGCCAAATTTTAAAATGATTTCATACAAAGTACATGTACTGATCTTTCTGAAATTTGGACGCTGGTTCCCCTCTAGTCCTAGTTGTGCAATATAATATTGTTGAGATTGATATCATTTGGTCTTTAATGTGAGGTCAAGTTCAGGTGGTGAAATTTGATGTTTTCTTCGTAATTTGTAGAAGCAGTATTGTGGAGAATTCACTGCATGTGTCACTTGATGTAAAGTCAAGGTCACAAAGGTCTAATACATGTAGACTTTGATGTTTCTCAATTATAAACAATGCTAAATGTTAGGAGTTTATAGTGTTGAGAGTGATGCCAAGTGGACCACTGTTGTATGGTCAAGGTGCCATGGTGAAAGGTCAAGGTCATAAGTGTCATAAGCCTGACCAGGTGGGTTTTCTCCGGGTACTCTGGTTTCCTCCCCCATTAAGACCCCATGTGTGCTAATATCCGGGCAAGTAGGAGAGTTATGCCCTTTTACATAAAAAAAATTGACAAAACATTGGTTGGTTATGCATATTCTCATTTTTCAATACATTCCTTGAAATGTTTTGTGTAGTGACAGTACCATATGTTGTTGTGCCCCCGGAATAATTTTGCGTTTCGGACCTTTTTAAGAGAGTTATGCCCCTAGACGTAAACAAAATGACAGATCTTTGTCTGGTTATGCATTCGCTCATTTTTCAAAGGATTTCTTTGAAAACTTTTTGAGTAGTGGCAGTACTATGCAGAGGAGCAAACCCTTCATCTTTTGGTCTAATCCTTACGATTTTAACATAAAAAGTATGCCTGACAATTTTGCGAATTCACTATATGATTTTGTCTTTATAATGTCTGCTGATTCTGGAAATATCTGTTTTATTATAATATCCGGATAGCAGTCTTCTGGGTGTGTTGAATAAGCCTTGAAACAAAAGCATATATGTGACTGTGATCACACTTCCTCTTTCTTTAGCGAGAAAATGGCAGAAAACTGTGTTCTCGATGAGAGAGATAAAATTAATAGTTCAGGTAGTTTCCATTGTCATTATACAATTTGCGTGTATACTTGTCACCCCCATAGGTGACAGCTCTAGTTCCATATAAATTGAATGATGTAAGTTTATATATCAAGTGGTCAGTGATGATATTATTGTCTAGTGTATGGTGTATATTTATAAGCTTTTGTGTTGTGATCTGTTTCTGTGTTAAGTCTCGTTATACTCATACTTGGAACAGTTTGACACTAAGATTTATTCAAACTAAACGGCAACCAGAATATTTAAATATGTATACATACAGCCACTAAACTATTAAAATGTTATACACTGTATGTATGGTGTTAAAGATAAGTTCCCAATATACTTACATAGTTACAAATCGTTTATTAATTACCTATATTTAAAGTGGGTTTTTTTCAGGACCACATGAGGTCACCAGCAACTTAATTCATTTTTAGCATGAAATGAAGTCAAAAACGTATCTTACCTATAGCTAATAGCATTAGTTTATGTTGTTTGTAAGTCCAAGTTGCTGCCTTATAAAAGGGGGTTAATCAAAATCATGAAAAAAAAATCTTAATACATTTTGAAATCTTTAGTTTTGGTATGTTATAGGATGTTATGAACTTGCGTTGTCAAGTGCAAACAAAATAGTCACCACTTTGTCGGTTTGATTACTGGTAAAATCTATGGATAGGGGACCAGTAAAAGTCCATAGGACAGATAATGACATGGCAATGATGGTGTGGATGTGTAACAGGAAAACTCACGACTATTGTGAAGCGATATAAATTGATAATTTTGATGGTCAAACTACTGTTGTTTTTGTGAACTGTGATGTAGTTATAATAATGGGCATTCTCATAACAAAACATGTATTTTGAATGGAAATGAAACACCGGTCATAAATAAATTGTTCAAGTTTCTGTAAGTTTTGTTGTTTTCATTCCTTTCTCCAGATTCACAAGATACATCCGTGGGATCTTGCGTGTAACTGCCTGGTCATATAGATGTTCAGATCCAAGTTAGCGTAATGCATGCTACCAATCGAAGACACGATTACATTTGAAAGTTCTAAAATCATAATTACTTACTGTATACTGGGAAATTTTCACCAAGTCAAACTTTCCCCCTTTGCTGGTAGTATTCGCCCAGTTTTGATTTCGCCCTCACATTTATTTACTATGTTTATTATGTTGTTTACTTATCTTGGTAGTAACGATTAATTCGCCCCATTACAGAGGACGAAAAAGGCGAAAATTAAACTGCAGTGAAAATTTCCTGGTATACAGTATTTCACAATACACATACAATGTACCAGTAAGTAAATGTGAACTCTATTTAAAAATATCGAAGAATTTTGTCAGATTCAGAGCTTAATGGATACTTCTAACAACCAGGCCCATGTGTGTCATTCTTGGCCAGTTTTATTCTATGCTGGGTAGCCCGCTGGCTGGAGTTTTGTTCTATGCTGGATAGCCCGCTGGCTGGAGTTTTGTTCCAAACAAGTGGAGCCTAGCTGTTGGTTGGCGGGCACCAGATTAACCTGAAGCAATTAAGACCTATGGATCTAATGCTTCAAGCTAAGTTGGAGCTTAATTTCCCATATATCAATGTAGCAAATGTAACAAAATCGGTTGAAAATTAGGTTATTATTATATAATGAGAAAGAATGAAACCACCATCTTAACCATATAACATGCAAGATAGTGGGTATCAATAGAGAGCAGTGCTTTGGTCAAAAGTACATCTGAGGTCAAATCTTACGATTTGGGTGACACTGCATTGATTGACGGGGGACTGTTGAATTGTAGATGCTATAGGGCTATCCATCTAGTGGCGAACAGGTCAGTCCTGGATGACAGAGATAGGGACGGGAGTGTGAACTCCCCAAACCAGACAGGGGTAACTGGTACATCTAAGTATTGTTGTTTTGGCAGGGGAAAGTTAGATTAGAAGTTGGATTAAATTATCGCACTTGCCTAATTATATATGTACAAGGGTTGGTATGGGATCATGAATAGTTAATAAGATATGTACTATGAGTTTTGATAAAACGGACTTGCACAGGGAATTAAGAGAGAGGCTCCAAAAGATTGGAGAGAGAGATTGATCGATCAATGCTCACATGGACTTGAGAGAGGGAGTCTGGTCCAGTAGGGGGCAAGATAAGATTGTCGCCGCCACAATGGGAAGTGAATAAAATACTAAGCCCACATGTGTTGTCAACGTAATATGTCACGCAAAATAAAAGCTCAAACTCTGCTTACGGCAATTTTCTATGGCATTGCTATGAACAACTTAGACAAGATCGATTTCTTTGACAAAGTGCTGATTTCCATGACAATGTGTGAATAACTGGGCCGAGTTTGTCGGCTATTGCAATGGACGAACAACCAGTCCATTGTTGTTTTTCCATGGCAATGCTTGATCAATCCCATTTAAATTGATTTCCACAATATGATTGCATCATTGTCTGCTAGAAATAATAAGATTTAATCTGGCAGTTTCATTTCTTTTTAATAATTTATCATATTAAAACAAATTCATATTAGACACTTGTTCACGTATAAAACAAAAATAGCAACAAAAATTAATTGAGGCTTGCTAATGATATATCACCATCACGGAGGATATATAATACTTGTCATACACCTAACGACACATTAAATATAAAACCCAAGTCTTGGTCAGTAATACTTTAACACTAATGAATACAAAAAATCTATTTGCATACCAAAATTTTGTGAATGGAAAAATATAATATTAAAGTCATAAATACTACTTCCAGGTTGATTTTTTTGTTGATTACACTATCATGGTTATAAACAAATGAAAATGATAGGCTGAAAGCTTTCTGGTGATCAAAATAATATGGTATACATTATACAATAATATAGCACACTATCTCTGAGGGAGTTTTGTTTTACACAAGATATCTATTGAGACCTAAAATCGTCATCACAGAAAGGCTTAGATTACTGTCACTATCCAGGTCCCGTACCATATTGGGTCGAGATATTGACATCAAGAAAATCTCTAAAAGAATATTTCAATAGTGGATGTGGATTTAATTGTTTTACTATTGGTGTGCACATCATTGAAATGAAACAGTTGTGTTTTTAGTCAGTTATGCACTTTCCTGGTCACTGTTGACAATCTGTAGTCCCAGAATATCACTGAATTGTTTTTCAAGAAACTTTGAAAAATCAGGCAGAACTTTTTGGATCACGTTTCTGGCAGTGGTTCATCGTCATCCTTCAGCCCCAATTCTCTCAGGAAAGAATTTTCCTCGTCCACATATGCAGCATATTCCTGTTTTTGACGATATTCAATTTCCTCTTCTGAAAGCTGTATATTTGGAGCGATCTGAAATATGAAAAATAAATTCAGGAACTAATTCTGTGTTCTTCATATTGCCTATTTACTATAAAGATCAGGTCTACAGGTGATAGGGGCCACTTTGTAGTGTTGTCTGACTGAAAGCTCTCGGCTTGGATATGACACCTTGATGTCACGTTATTCTGACAACCGGCTAATCAGAGGTGTCTTGGGAGGCACTGTCATTAAAAATGAGCATTGTACGGATAAAAAAATATATCTGCAGATCAGTACTGTTTTTCATCCTATAACTTAAAGTTGCTAAGATCTTATGATCACCTAGACATGAATTGCATGAAAACAAAACTCAAAAGGACGCATATAATAAATACACATGGCTTGTTTCAATGGTCAAGAACTGGAATATTAAACACATGTCAGTTAGACGATCAACATATTCTAACAAGCAATACACAATACACATTTACTGTATTGATTTAATAAAACATTTAATTGCTCTATTCATATATAAGCAATACATCATTATACAGCCCTTATCTGTGGTGTAGAAAAATACTGACCCCCATCTTCCTCTTATGTTCTTGCTCTATCTCCCTCTTCTCCAGCTCCCTGAAGTCCCAGCGCGACACAACAAAAGCACGCCTCTTCACCTCACGCTCAAAGTAGTTGGATATGCCAGTGTACTGGAAGGGAAAATTGGATGTGACTTATAGGAGGAGAAAGAAATTTCAACTCTACAAAAATGTTATTACTTTTTATTGAAAACACATCAGAATTATCATTTTTGTATGAATAAAGCACAATACAATTTTGCATATACCTCTCCACCATATGTAATACATGAATGTGAAGTACATTGGTATTTACCTTTTCACCAGTGTAGTTCATAATGGACTCATCCAGATCAATGCATGGAAGAAGCTACTTAAGTTACATAGGTGTGAAAGGATTAATCCGAGATATGTTTGATTTGTTACCTCGTTGGCTGTGGGTTGCCTCAAACTCCAGGGAATTTCCAATATGTGAAGTGTACCGGCACTGTCACCCACTGCCATCAGGTGCTGCTTCTCTGTAGGACAACATAGAAACATATTAACAGGAGGTCATTGGGGCCTGTATTTACTCAACAAAAAACACACAAAAAGAGGTCCATGGGGCTTGTATTACCTCGACAAAAAACACATAACAAAAGAGGTTCTTGGGGGTCTATATTTAGTCAAACAATGACCAAATGAAACAAGTGATCCATGGGGCCTGTATTGTATACAAAATTTTGTGAACCTTGGGACCTTTCTCAAGAACTTTATTAGAACAGTGATAATTTTGCGTTTTTTTCAAAACCCAATCTGAATTTTCTGTCTACACATGCATTCTAAAAAGTATAAGTATTAAAAAATGTCATTATTGTGAACAGTTCAACAGAGGATCTTCAAATTCAGAACTGACTAAATCTTGTTTTTTGAACCCGACAGGTTTATATACTCACGTGACACAGGGAAAGGGTAGAGTGAAGTGATGGGGACAGGCGACACATTCTGTGTCATACAGGGCTCGTGTGTCTTGTCGAGGAGGTCCCACACATCCACACTGCCGTCCACTTTAGCTATATAGAACACACCAGGTCGTGATGGTGACCAGTGTCCAGCGCTCAGTTTGACTGTACTGGCAGAAGACTGCAGGATTGGACCACTCTGTTTATGTAAAACATTACAGTTGAAGCCATTAATTTGGACGCATTGCATATAATTTGATTTTTTGTTGGTAAAATAATACATATACATACAAATTCCTTGAACAATCATTTAAGAAGCAATATACATTCACTTTCTCTTTAATATATTTGTTTGTAGTACTGTGACTGGACATAGAAGATCACAACAAGGAACAAAATTAAAACAAAACAAAAAGTCACATTGTACTGGAGTAGTAAAGTGGTCACACTCTTTGAAAGATGATAAATGTACGAGATGTTACTACAAATATAATATCCTTACAATATCCTGTCTTTTAACACACTGGAAAGCAAGCTGTACTATAGACTTGCACTACCATACAGTAACACTCCAGTTAGATATTTCAACACACATAATACATACATGAGGACAAATCTCACTATTCTACTTAAATCATTAAACATATTTTAAATAAAGAAACTGTAATTGGGTTTTTGTTGATTTTGTATATTGAAAGACAAGTCAGTCATGATTGGTATCTTCAAAACACAGGGATAATATTCCACACCCGACACCGCAATATCTACTCTGCACACTCGGATTTTCTAATGACAAAATCTAATGCGAGTTGACTTGTCTGAAAACTGTTACTGAATCCTGTATACCTTTGATCTCAGAGTAGTATTTTCATTAAAGAAAAAATACCTCACTATAATTTTTTCAGCGATTACAATTTTACTAGAGCATTGTCACTAGTTTAGGCAAATGTTCTTTGTGTACCATCAACATTTTTTCAAGTTACACACCACGATTAGCACTACAGCTATACTAAATCAAACATTAATATGGGCTTTAGATTTAGCAGTTTTACAATTTAGTACCTTTGAAATAGCAAAAAAGTCGCTTAGTATATGATTACCATTTGCACAGGTACATTAACAACTAGAACTGTCGCCTGCATACTTATACTCCCCACCTGTGCCAAGACCAAAGGAATAGCTCTTTGGAGAACATTTCTAAACAAAAGGGCATAACTTCATATATTTGGAGAGGGGGGGGGGGGGGGGGATCCAGCGCTTATACACTTTATTCACATCCTCTTAATGCAAGTGTTACATGAACCATGTATCCATCAAATCTGTGCAGTACTTTGGGAGGAGCAGTGTGAACAACATTTTAAAACAAAGGTGCATAACTCCTTAATAAGGGGAGGTAACACCAATTTACATACTCCATTGACATCCCCTCAATATAAGGGTTCTGTGTACAAAGGATTATTCAAATTTGTGCAGCATGTTGGATGGAGTGGTGTGAACAATGGTTTGACATTAAGGTGCATGACTCCTATAAAATTTAGCCGAACTGAAATATCAACCACAGGTGCACACCTTCAGAATGAGTTGACTGCAGTGAAGGTAATGAAACTTGGCTGAAATTGTGCATACAAGATCGTATTGGTTAACTTTTTGTAAAAAGGGGCATATATGTGAAGAATGATAAACGTAGTAATCACATACATGTATGAAGAGCAAATTAACACTGTGCAAATATGGATGTTACTGGGCTAGTCCGACTGGGCGGATGTTTCCCTGTACTAGGGGCTGGTCTGACTGGGTGGATGTTTCCCTGTTCGGGCTAGTCTGACTTGGTGGAGGTTTCCCTGTACAGGCTAGTCTGACTGGGTGGATGTTTCCCTGTACTAGGGGCTAGTCTGACTGGGTGGATGTTTCCCTGTATTAGGGGCTAGTCTGACTGGGTGGATGTTTCCCTGTACTAGGGGCTAGTCTGACTGGGTGAATGTTTCCCTGTACTAGGGGCTAGTCTGACTGGGTGAACGTTTCCCTTTACAGTGTTAAACCACACACGTGAGGATTGAAAACATTAGGAGAATTAACACCTTCAGTTTGCTGAAAGTGATCAAATTAATGTCTATCTAAATTGTTGGTGCGTCTTTCTAATACAAAATATTAAACAATGAATACTCCAAACTGTTGACCACAGACAAAATGTGTGAAATGAGATATTTCCATTATCTATAATACTTAAGAATCCCTGTACCACTGCCAGCAAAATACTGCAGAATTCCAATTTTGTGTTTCCATAAAATTTCTGCAAGGTATGAAGATCTTTGCAGAAATCGTTCCTTAAAGCTGGTGTCATACTGATAAAATAGTTTCTGATTTGTAGTTGGTTTTGGCAGTGGTACGGGGATCCTTCAGAGACGTCAGTTTGTTTCGAGCAATCTACCAAACATAATCCAGGACAGTTATATATATATGTCCAGTCATACATTCGTATTCCATTTCAATGCAAGCATTCTAAAAAAATTATGAACATTAACCATTTTAATACAGGTACATATATACAAAAGAAAAACACCATCTTCAGGATAAATTTCTACAAAAAATCCACAGAAATTTGTGTTTATTTTTATAAATTTGAACCTTTTCCCTCCACAATCAGATATTTTTTAACGACTATTTTATTGCCATTTAAACAGGAAAAGAGTGGGTTTTTTTTATCAAAATATAGGCCCTAAGAAGACTTACTTCTTTACTAAGTACAACTTACCTAGGTTTACTCATTAGGCCAGGGTTTTAATTATAAGGTAACTATTTTGTTAAAACACTTGAGTGTATAACATTACAATCAGTAGTGCATATTGGTTAATGACATCAAAAACCTTCCCACACAAATTAATTCAAATTTCAAATCATTCAACTCTAGCCATGCAAGGACTGCCGTCCTCACTATACTTACATTCCTTTTGGCCTCATTAGGGTCAACCTGCAGTACCCCATAAGTAAATACCAATCAATGATACATCAGGATCATCCTGTCTGTCCCGGTAAGTAAACACTAATCAATGATACATCAGGATCATCATGTCTGACCCCATAAGTAAATACCAATCAATGATACATCAGGATCATCCTGTCTGTCCAAGTAAGTAAATACCAATCAATGATACATCAGGATCATCCTGTCTGTCCCTGTAAGTAAACACTTATCAATAATACATTGCTTACCCAAGTCCTGTGTAAAATGTCTGATTAAACTTAACAAAGACTTTAATGGGTTTTTTAAAACATTAACAGTACTGAGCTTTTTATTTGCATTTACCTGTTTCTGTTTACCATTTTGTTTACAACTGTATACATGAGTGCAAAAATAAATAGGCAAAATCAAAAGTCTGTTTAGTGATATAATAATATTGATAATGTAAGGTCATCTGTGTCTATTATAAACAGAAATGTTTTTCTTTTTTAATGCTGAAATAAAACAAATATTGAAAAAGAAACTTAATCTTATGACAAAAAAAACAGAAAACATGTTTGTCTGAAATATTTGCAGAAATCAGAACTTTAAGAAACTTATATTGTAATAGTGTCCTAATTAATTTGACTTGTAATAATTAATCTCTAATACATGTTTTTAATTTCACATTCCAAGTGTAAAAATTTGATATAAACATCTAATACCCATATATTAATAGTCCTGTACATGAAACGCCAAGTCAAAACAATGAACAAAATTCTTATTAAATTAATCAACTTACGTTGACCGATTCCTTCCATAGTGTGTAGGTCCACCCTCCAATACACAAAACCACGTCCTTAAAGAAAGGAGAGCGCTGTAGGGTGCTGATAGGTCCATCATGAATGGAGTGGTAAAAGTCAGGCTTTGGTGCTGATGTGGGCGTAAAGGTGTAATTACGACATTGTAACAAATAACATGTACTTATCTACAGGTATTGCATCAATGATAATGTCGAGGCATAACATTTTCACTATTTCAGCAACTAGCAAAACATGTCCATGACTAATGACACAGAAATACATAGCTTCTTCAACGTTATTTTAAAATCACAATTTTAAAAATGAAATTACATTCACAAAGGGAAAATGAAATTTGAATATTTGTTTTTTACTTTTTGCCTGGTTACTTTGAAAATATGCCTGGCAGTAACTTTAAGATTTAATTTAAACAACTTGAAATAAATAATTTATTTGGATAAAAGTCACTATCTAAAAAGAATTTGAATAACTGGTAATTTTAAAATGCCTGGATAATTATAATTTTACATACATGATTGAATATATCACGAGAGTGAACCATCATTGATTGAATATCAATGGAATAATCAAGAAATATTAACCCAGAAAAAGATATCTGATATCTAGATGTGTCTTACTTTGAATTTTTCCTGTGTCTTGATCTTTCTGTGGCATCCAGTCGACATAAACAATCTCGCCGTCCTACGATTGGTGTGGGAATGAAATAGCATGATTTTACAGAATTCACAAGTCTTCCGCCAATTCTCACCCAATGAAATGTATGTCTACCTAATTCACAAGACTTTCTCACATTCTCACCCAATAAATTAGTATGTCTATATAATTTGCGAGTCTTCGTCCCATTCTCACCCAATGAAATGTATGTCTACCTAATTCACAAAACTTTCTCACATTCTCACCCAATAAATTAGTATGTCTATATAATTTGCGAGTCTTCGTCCCATTCTCACCCAATGAAATGTATGTCTACCTAATTCACAAAACTTTCTCACATTCTCACCCAATAAATTAGTATGTCTATATAATT